CAGGCAACTGGGAAATCAAAAACCCCACGTTTTGGAGAATCCATCAGACGAAACTTGCATGACTAGCGTATCAGGTCTCGAACTAGTTTCAACCTACAGGATCCCGAAAAAGAGAAGTAATGGCAGTCTTATCATCAGAAATCTGGTAAGAGCACTACTGTTTAAATACCGACCTAGTCGTACATTTTTGAGGGAACGCGTTAAGGAACTGGCTGTGGTTCGTATTGACTCCTACCCGATTTTAACCTGAAACTTCGCGGCTACTCATCTATAACCAAATACTCGGTCCAGTTGCTCAGCCGTGATGCTGCTGTAGCTGTTGCTAGGCCGATGGGAAAAGGAAACGGGCTTCACCGAAGGTGAATGAAGAACACTTGTTCAGTGACTGTACAAACTTTTACTGAACGAAACATAGTCGTAGGAACCCGGTGGAGCGTTCACTGCCTGGTAACGATGCATCCTCTCGATACAGTATTCGGCCTGATCCGCTGGCAGCTCCCGGCGAATCTCATCCGCCGTTATGTAGGGCTGAAAAAAAAAGCGCTCTGTTAACGATGGTCAGTACAGTAGCTAAATTTTCCACCGATAGTATAAGTCCCACTCTTTTATCAGTAGTGGCATGTTCCACGCACTCCTTCGAACATGATTCGCTCAGTCATTTCATACTATTTTTCGTATTTAATTTAGTAAGCAACTGTTTTATGCTTTTTAATCTGGCGTAGTTCTATAATTCTTGGCACCTAGTGCTATTCTGACTAACCTAAATTCTTCTATCGCTCAAGTTTTTACCGCATCACGATGAGTTTCGCGCTTCATGCAAAAGTGCTGTTTTCTTATCAAATAAGAAATAATCTCACAAATAATGTTTTTACTAATTTCTCATTCACCAGCAATGAAATCAGCGCTAAAGCCCTGTTTATTAGAGGTAACCAGAGTCAAACAAAAACCATAAGCCAGCAACCTTTCCAGCTGAAAGAATCCTGAACGACTCGATCATCTGTTCAGCAGTATCCGCATCAGCTGTTTCGCGAGTCATAAAATCTAAGAAAGCATCAAATGGTATTCTTCCCATACGATTTGGATCCAACACTGATAATATCCTACCCATATCCTGGTCGCCCTAAAATAGCCCTGTATTGAGGCAGTTAAACAGATTAAAATTCCGAAAAACTTTTTAACTGAGTACCACAATTCTCATTGCAAATTAGATCCTCCCACTGTTCCTTCTATCCTCCATAACAAACATAATTTGAAAATAAAAGAACAAGTGGTTATTTGAAGTATAAAATTTTCTGCTGATAGCTGCAATGACTATCCTGTAAAACAATAGATAAATTTTGCCATTAAAATAATCGCAAATGAGCGGGGAATAAATTGTACTGAACAATAAAACGAGTTTCAAGAATCCAAGGAGACTGGACTTTCATGTTTAACACAGGTTATTTCTGTTAAACAACGCTGAACCACAGCAATGAAAAACTGTGAACCTCTTTTCCTGGACGAATGTTGTATCCGATTGAAATAAGGCATGATTTGAGCTGCTCAAGATCAAGGCCTTGCCTATCCTTGTCGAAATGATTGAATGACGAACGATACTCATTCAGCTGCTCCTCGCTAATTCCTTTACTGTCGCGCATCAAAATCTTAATGAAAAAAAAATAATTTCAGTGATTTTTTTACCGTTTGTGCTTTATGTTTTGATTTTGTTGACAGTCATATATGTCCATAAAACTAGAAAGTTTGCCGCCAACTGTCACATGCATCCACCTTTGGGGGAAACAGCGATTTTACTCAATGAACGCTAACCGCATCACAGTAGTGGAGAAGTGCTGATGGGCGCCTAACGAGTCACGGAATGCAGTGTGGTAGAAGCCGAAAAATTATAGTATGCCTCCAACAAAGTACCACGACTCTGGAATGCTGTGAGGGACGCTAACGAGGAGTTGGGCTGGTCATGTACCAAGTACTGGACGAAGTCGATTATTAGAGGCGCCCATGCAATGCTAAAGAAAACAAAAAGGGCGCCAATGCGATGAAAGAATCAGCTAGAAGGGCTGTGTGGAATTATGTGGATAAAGTGCCCTAAATAGCGAAGGATGAAGAAACTGCTAGCAAGATTATTAAGACAAAGTAATTAATTCGTTACTAATTATTAAGGCTAATTACTAAAACATTATTACTAATTACTAAGTATTATTAAGATTACTAGAAACAGCTGATCAAAGTATTAAAAGTATATTAATTTGTTCATCATTTTATTCATCCATATCAGAAGTGAAAACTATTATGAAAGTACTTGATTTTCGCATTCGTTGATTGTCCTATTCACGGATGTTAATAGCGATTCCCAACCAACACGCAATGATTCCATGGAGTAACGAGCAGCGCGATTTTCGAATACATAGTTTTCTTGCATCTCCTGATTTATTCTTTCCAGCTCTTCCAAATTCGGTTTATAATTGAACGTCTGAAACAATCATTTTCTAGGGGAAAGTATCCGAATTTGAATTCATAATTCAAAAGTACGGATGTAATAAGTGCCCAGTAAATATTCGAAGCATAGTACCTGCTGCTGTATGGACTTTAGCTGCGACACGGCACTTTCAAGGCTTCCTCGTCCGCCCAGTCCAATCGCTAAAACCTGCTCCAGTTGTCGCTCAAGCCAGGGGCCAACTGTGTTCGCTTTCTCGGCAAACAGTTGCCGCAAACGTTCGTTATCTGGAAGTAATGAAATTTTCAGGATTGAAGCACAAAAAAGTAGTACAAGCATTCTCATCTGTACTAACGGACAGGTAATAACGCCGTTCATTCTTGATGTTGTGTTGTATTTTTATCATGTACACATGCGTTCTGTTAATAGATTTGTATGACTATTAGTCGTAGCATAAACATGTTGCAAAAGCTAGCGGACTCAGTTCGATTTTTCGGTTCAATTTCAAAGAATTTGACAGCAACTAATCAACACCTAGAAACAGTTCAAGCTAATAGTACGGGTTTTTCAAAGAATACGCAAATAAAGCAATATTTAAGCATCTTTGCGTCATATCGCCAGTAATTTTTTTTATTAGCCGGTGAATAAAAACATCATTTGTGCATGTTTGCTTCCAACAAACACTTTAAAGCCCTTTGACTTGATTCTCTCTCTCTCTCTCTCTCTCTCTCTCTGCATGCTAAATCAAAAACCTCTTGACAATATGTGTTTTTGCATTTGCATAAATATGCAAGAAGAGATAATGAGGTGCTTGTATTTAACATATGTAGATGTTTTTAGAGCTGCTACTTCTGATGCTCAGCAATTTTTCGACCGTTCATAGCGGCTTCTGGAAGTACCACTTCCTCGTCCAAAGCATCTGCTGCAAAATTGCTGTTGGTGAACCAGTCCCAACTGAATTTCCTCAAAGCAGTACTGGCAGTGGTTCCGGACTAGGCATTGAAGAAACCAAAAATTTTTACTTTGTTGACGATGGTACTCGTTTTGCAGCTGTGCATCACGTTTCGGTATTGAGTGCTGCACCTCTTGCCATTTGCGACGGATATCAGCGCCCGACAGATCAGTGTACGGATTTCTCAGCAGTTCTCTGTCTAAGCCGTGCTGCTCAATCAGCTGACCTATTTCCTGCAATAAATAATCCGCATTTTTATCGGTTTAGGTCCACTTCTAGAACCACTCGGAGCATCCCTCGGGCAAACAATGACCGAAGTGTTAGATCATGAGAAAAAACGCTAATAACGCGCTGGCACTCCCAGCCCCATTTTCCGGAATATCGGCAAGATTTCGGATTTGTGCTATTCCTCAGCAGATTTATGCCAACCTGTTCGATACCGACGATTGCTCTAAATTCACTGTCAGCATCGGAAATTGTTGATTTAAAGCGATTGTGTGCGTCCAGTAATTCTTGTACTTCTTTCATTTCGTGCACAATTACAGTATCAGCA